GTCCGGGAAGTTCTTCTCCATCCATACCTTTAAATGCCTTTAACTGCGACAAGATTAAACAAATGTTTTGTAAAATTTCGTTGCGGTTTGCTTTATAAGATTCAGGTTTTAGTGTTACTTTTCGTTCCGTGGCTGCGATAGCACGGCATGTTTTTATCTTAATGCTGAGGTCTTTTGCACTGGTGAAGCGATAGGACGTTTTCCGTCTATCCGATTTAACGTTCTCCAAACTGCATACGCGTATAACAGCCGGTAAGGTACAACACATATGGCGTTTTCATGTCCCATTACTGACGAATCGAATGCCGCATGACGGTACTGTGGAGGCGATCCAAAAAAATGCGCCACTCCTGTGGGGAAAAATATCAAATGTAACATAAACGGTACATTGTATTGTGTGCACAATCTTTGAATGAATCAAAAAGTAATACCATAAAAATTGTATGATTACCTGTGGTAATGGTAGTAGTGTTGTGAGATACTACTCACTTGTGAGTAGTCGGTAACTTCCAATGATTAAAAACAGAACAAGACCATCAAGGACCAAGTAATATATTTGGGAAGAATAAACACTGCCTGCTATACCCATTGCCAAATGTGTCGCGATGTGCTGCGAAGGCATGTTTCTGATGAGCTTTTCGTGTTATGCATGCAAAATTAGTGACCTTCAATATGTATTCTGCAATAAAGAACTCTCCTCGACCAGCACCGCCTTTTCGGAATATAACAGTAGTAGTAGTAGTAATTGTTGTTGTTGTATGCAGTGAAATCGGAATACAAATCACGGAATACGAATCAAGAATTAGCAATCACGGATTGGATCACGTAAGCACTGGACTGCACTATCCCACGTAACCGAGACGCGAGGAGAAGGCCTCAGCATTAGTAGTTCACTTATTGGAAGAAATAAAGCGGATTAAATAATATGTGCAAAGTAAGTTCGTTGGTTATCCGGGCTGCTGCCAATCGCGTTCCAGTATTGCTGGCATCGCTTGGTTCTATCTGGGCCGCACAGTCTCTGATTGGCTGGTACGATATACCTATGGTATGTAGTCAGAATCAGTGACACGTACGCTGGTTGTTGACGTCATCCGTGGAGTTTGATTGCTCACAGTTGTCCAAAAACTGTAACGCCTCACTGCCGGGTACGCGTCACCTCGTAGGCCCGGATGACCATAGCGGTATCACTCGAGTTTGTGCGTCGGGGCTTAAGCATTGCGGGTTTTGGCCAAAGCTTGATGGGAAAAGGTGTAGTTATGCATTCACGTCCGTTTATAATGGATTAGCTGCGAAGAGGCTTTGTTCTACAATCACGCAAAGGTGCTGTATATTCTAGTTGGAATGAAACATAAATTAGATCTTATTTCCTCATTAGTAGTAAAATCCTGTAGCACACAACTAGTTTTCAAAACATCATTTTTTGCGATACTGTTTCCTTACAAACAATAGACCTGTGCACCATGTTTTACACCCGCGAACATTTCTATACAAAGGTTTATAGTTCCCTATTTGGCATAATGCCGAACTGATTAAAATGAGATTTGGAAGAAACATTTACCAAACCTCGACTATGAAACATTACTGCGGATAAGTTCCGCCTGAATAGTTGCGCAATTTTCCCATTGAGGCTGCATACACAAATGTTCAGAACGGTTGATGGCATATGGTCCATTACGATAATTACACGGTACAATCGAGATCACGTGACAGGTATTATTGTTTACATGAGCGCACCGAAAACAGCATGCTAATTGATATTGATATTTACATACCGGTGTAAGTGGTTAGTGTTACTGTAGCATTCGAAGTAACAACAGATATCAGATATCACCTGTGCAAGATTTTCCTTATGATACACCTTGGTGTGTTGAACAGTAGAGGGAGTAAACCCTATAGTCATGAGGACCTGCTGTTCATTGATGACAACCGGTAACCTAAGCCCCGGGACTTGGAGTGGCGAATCACCGCTAGGTTAGGCGTGGTATTGAACCGGACGACAGTGAAGCTGCCTACCACCAAAGTTGGGTGGCGGTGGCGGGGATCGAACCTCGGACCACAGGGTCCAAAGCACACCGGACCAAATCATTGCTGCACCACCAACCTAAAGATTGCGTGATTGGTTGGTACATATCAGGCAGTTCAATGTATAGGTTACGGTAAACTAAAACAGAATGGGTAATCGAGTGAGGGTTAATCTACTAAACGAGAGTGAACTGTTCGCTCCAATCACAAATAATAACACCTAAACTTGTTGTCTCTCACTGCTTGCCAACTTGTACATTGGGATACTGGTGGTATCTCGGTGGAGGCGGACCGCGTGTAAGTGGGGACTGGCTGCAATCATTTGACGAAACAATTCGGTTCCGTTATAATTAGCACATTTTAGTTTCCCTGTCATCTAATTACATAATCTCGAGACACACATTCATTCTTCACTACGAGGAGGGTTTTCCTTTTTGCTCCTCCTTCAGCGTTTGTCTATTATACGCACACACACAACATGAGGTGAATCCGATGGTCACCAAAATCCTCTGCTCACCCGTGGAATCCGGCAAACATAGCCCGCTGACTTGAAGTGACGAAACACATAGGGCCCCACTAGGCTACCCTTGGTACACAAAAGCTCTTTACTAGTTAACTGGAGCTGGTGGGATGAGAAACTCGGATAATCGGAATCCAAAGTAAGCCGGTGACAATAACATCACAGTGGAGTGAACGGATTGAGATTTAAATGATTGTTGTACAAAAGATGATCATCAATGCAGTGTTTCAAAATAATCGAGTTTGAGTAGTGTTGAAATTCGATTTCATTGTCACAGACCCACTTTCTGAACTGTGTTCAAATGCCCTGTTTTCAATGCCATGTCCTGATGGGTATTGTTTTATCGACCCAGTGTGAAGGATGAGAGGAAAATCGACAATGTTTGCACACCCATCAGGAACGGGCTCATTTAACGAAGTTGCTAGTTATTCGTGTTGCGACGAACGAAATTGCAACATACCTCGTTAATAACTGAAATTGGCTTGATTTGACTATGGCATGCGTTCGCTAATTTAGACTTGGAAACCCACTCCAAAGGAACTGCTGACAACTTCCCCGGAGCTTGGTCCTCAATCGGTTGTGAACTCCATGACTCACCTCAATCTATCTATTCAATCAAACATACTATTCCGTTGAATACCCAAGTGGCGTTTCGATTATGACAATTATTGGATAATTTTGGCAGTCACCAAGTCGGGGGGGGGGATAACTCATGTCTACATTGCTCCCTTTGAACGCGCAATACCACTGCTCGATGTGCACAGACCTGCTCACAAACAAACGTGCACGCATACGCCCACAGGACACTGATGTTCCTCACATGGAATCTTGATTACAGGGACCAATCAGATTGCATTGGGTGTTCGCCTGTTATGGATTGACTAACTGCTGAGGACTTGTACGCCCAGTACCGGTTAGGGTCATGCTTTTACAGTTATACATGAATTACGATGAGTACAATTTTTTGCTTATCCGCAGTATTTACTTCCGTGCATATTACGAGTTCTTATAGAACACGTTCCAACCGAGCGAATTTCACAGCGTCTTCATCCGACTACATAGTCTGAACACATTTGATACGCTTGTATGTTTCAATAACGATTGTCAAAATATTTAAAGAAACCCTCTAGGGTAGGTCGATGGAGAGACTGAGAGTTCGACGTGCAAGACGTGTCAGAACCCTATCCTGGTGCATGGTCTGAGCGGTCAAAGTGCATTATAGCGGCAATGGCTAATTCAGTGGGCATGCAATGAGATTTGACTGTGTTACACACGCACCAGGATACGCAGAGTTCAAGCAATCTGCTGCGTCTAAGTGCACAAAATCGGATTAGCCGAGTGTTGGAAAGCTAGCAACTGTACAGTTCAGCTTTTACAACCGGTTTTTCATTCAGATGTGACAAATCTTGCCATGAATTGAGGAAGGGGATCTACCGTATCCAGAGCTCGCCTCCGTGCAACTTGACTGTGCGTTTATTCAGTCGGTCTTCAGTCCAAATCTGAGTTGCATTTATTCCACTGCTACTTCGATTACCACAAATGGTGGAAGGCATTTCTGGTCTGGAAACATGCACAACAGTTTACAATTGGTAAACACGTCCCCGTTTGCAAACATTCAACTCGGTCATCTCGTGGTAATATTCCGAATGTGCAACGAGGAAACTCGGTTAGACCGAGTGAGTTCTACAAATGACTAGTTTTCGATGTGCTTCAAAATGGAAGCTGGATTTGAATCAGAAAGCCACTCGTATTGCTTCCGGACTAAACGGGTGTGCAAGCCATTCGAATTGGGCAATGTACAGGTCGAGTATCATTTTCAAACTGTCTCATAACTATGGTAACAATTATCAGCCACAATTAGGCCTACTAGGTGAATTCGAGTTACGTAACCATGCGATTAACCCCAAATGTTTTTCTGTGAGTGTGACGATAATTCAAATCTCATGAGTGGTTTGGGCACAGTATTGCGTAACCAGTTAGTGTCATTCTGTGCACTTAAGACATGGTCGTCTCTCAGTTGATTGGTAGGATGTAACCAAGGCAGCAGAATATGCATCAACAATTATTTATCTGTTTTCGTCTCATTGTGCGTGTGCGTGTGTGTTCGTGTATGCATGTGGCACATAGCGTGCAATATGCCACAAGGCGTTGGATGGTCCCTCGAAATCTACAAACCGATACGGTAGCCGAAATACTGCCACCTTCGTCATATATGCCGGATACAATGTCAAGTGGTCTGAAGAATCAGCTCGATTTTGTTCCCGGTTGAGCTGTCAAATTACGTAATCAAGTGAAAAATAGATGGTGTTTTGTCGCAGTCGTTGGTCTCGAGATGATCAAATGAACGACTACCGATTAAAACTTGATCATTTATGATTGTGGCCTCATCCCTGCATAGTTTTGGTCTCAGGTGCACAGTCTTCAGCCCTCCTGTATTCTGTTTGCTTTCCGAATACCTATGTTTTTATGTCGGTTATGCGCACTGCTCGGCGGTGATGACGTGGATCTAAAGATTTCGGTACAATCTCAAAGTACATTTTCGGATGATGGAACCCGTTCGGTACGTTAGCCCTGTCTCTCTAGCTCACTCACTCTTTCCCTCGCTTTGCCAGGTCCCGAATAAATCACGTGCTCCACGTCAAACCGGACCACTCAATCGGATCGATGCGCTGGTTCAGCAGTCCGCCAAAACGGTGCAACACACAAAAGTTCTCAATCAGCTGGCTCGGTCCGTGCGTAAAATAAATGAAGAATTGACCGGAGCTGAACTAGATGACTACAAGAGGTATGTGTGATGGTCCAAAAAGAAGTGAAATCTGTCCGGATTAATGCAGTCACGTGATGTGAATCCTCCTCGTTCCCTACCATCTCGTTCGTTCCTGTTTATTTTGTATTCAATCAATTATTACCGTCTACACGCATGTCCCAGATGAAGCATACGAGTATGATCTGATTATTGTTTAACATATAGGTATAACCCGCATTCATGTACAACCATGTACTGCAGTTTGGCGTCCAATTTTTGGTAATGTCATCGTAGTCATTCTGAGTAACCAATTTGATGCAATCGATGATTAAATATTGGTACGTCTGTCATGGGATTCGTTCCAACTGACTGTTCTAGCTCTCAGGAATGGTGTTCCTGTTCAGATTGCATGAATTCTCTGTCGAGTGATGAAAACTTAACAGTTAAGTGATCGAATACCCGTCAGAATTTATTCCTTGGTGTCTCATGTGACATTAATGAGCTCAAAAGATCTTTTTCTTCGGTGAACAATGTGGTGAAAGCATTACCGAGACCATATACAACGTCACTTGATTTCTACCTTCCTATGACTGTCACAACGGAACCAGTTTTAAAGGAGTTGAAAGCTTGCGACAGAAGTAAATCCTCGGGTCCTGATGGATTATCCCCGATGATCCTGAAATATCCGCAAACGACTTCGCACAAATTAATTCATTCATCTTGAATTCATGTCTGTCAGAAGGTAGACTAGATAACACATAGCACATAACATGATGTTCGCATTACTCCAGTGCCTAGGAAATAAAGGGACAAGGTTTGGTCTATCGCTTTATATTCAGTACTACTGAAGGCTTTTGAGAAAATTATTATTAAATATCTATTTTCCAATCTTGATTTTTGTTATTGGCAGAAATATCCTATTGTCACTGCAACGGCAACATAATCTCCTGCCACATCTTTTGAATTGGATGCATGACAATTTCATTGGCCGATACCAATTCGCTTAACCCTATGGTATTAGGTCTTATATTGCCATTGTAAACCAAGTTAAATGCAGGGAGCATTGTTATCCCTTTTTCTGCTCTCTTTTTACATCCAAAGCTTACCAGTCACTGTTTCCACATTCAACTATACCGACGAACCTTTAATCACTTACCTTCGGTCAGCCATAAGGTCTTATTTTGA